ATATATATACATATTTTTCCTTGTTTCTTTTCTCCTTTCTCCCATCCCAGTTTCTCTTTCCTTTGAATAGTTTCTTCCCATTTCACAGTACCTACTGTACACTTTGGATCTTCTTTACTTTATTTACATTTTTTAATTCTTCTGGAAAGACACCCAGCAGAGGAATAGCTAGAACAAATGGGACCGCTATTGCTAGTTTATTGAGGAATCGCCACACTGATTTCCACAGTGGTTGTACCAGTCTACACTTCCACTTTCCTCATAGCCCTTCTAGCATTTGTTACTGGTTGATTTCTTGATAATAGCCATTCTTGCTAGGGTGAGATGGGATCTCTCTCAGTGTTGTTTTAATTTGCATCTCTCAAATAACCAGTGATGTTGAACTTTTTTATATATTTATTTGCTATTTACATTTCTTCATGTGAGAGGTGTCTATTCACCTCAGATGATCAGTTTTGGATTGGGTCTTTGAATTCAGGGGTTCTGATTTTTTTAATTCTTTATATGTTCTCAATAGTAACCTTCTATTTGAGGAACAGCTGGCAAATATTTTCTCCCATGTTGTGGGTTGAGATAAGTATTTCTTGATTACATTACCCAGTTTCCTATCATTGAAGCCTGCACATACCATACCATCTCCAGTTGTGAAAGAATGGAAATTAAACAGACTGTCTCAGGTCCTCCAGGATCCACAGGGGCCCTTGAGCAAGCCCTCGGGGAAGGTCAGGTCACTTGGAACCAGAATGAGCTTAACCCCTGTAGTATCAGAGTAACCCTGGGTTAGGCTTGATTCTCTCCAACTTCAGTTTCTTCACTTGGAGAAAGAAAAGATAGAAAGCAGAGGTGGAGTCTCGATGGCGACAACCATCATCGATCTGTGGTCAGTAGAAAACACCATCCTGTGCAGAAAAAGAGCTCCGTGGCCCAAATGCAACAGCATTGTTGTGCTTGCTCTTCCTTCTTGGGGTAAATACACAACTCACTAGCACCTAAAGTCTCTGTGCAGTCCTGTCATAAAGAAAGTGGCTGCATGTCGTCATCTAGGCTAAAATTTCCCAAATTGCTTTGATCTATGCAAATCTCTTTCCAGTAGAATAACTACATGGAAATGTCATCAGAGTAACATTAAGTTAGACTGCCTTTCGATGCAGTTACTGGCCAGGTGGAGCTCCACAATATCTACTAAATTATCCCAAAAAAATCAACATAACATAGAAAGTTCTAGAAGGTGGGTATTATAGTTGAGCTTATAAGGGAAAAGATTTAATACAGGTCACACACTATATAGGATTATATTATAATATTCACTTAAAGAGTCAAATACAAAAGAGTGCAGGAGATCTTTCCACACATTAGAGACCCAAAGAATGCAGCTGAGGGCCTGGATCCCCCGGCAATGCCCTGCATGGGTCCACTTGAAGGCCTAGAGTTCATGACAATGTCTCATACAAGTCTGTATCATGGATCTACACTGAGAAGCCCGAAGAAGTAGAAGTAGAAAGCCTGTGCCAGTAGGCTGAGGGAACTGCACTAGAGACAGGAAGTGATGCTCCAGGTGAAAACCAGAGTTTTCCCCAAAGAAAACCACAGCCATCCTCAGTGACAGGGAGGACCCAAGCTCCTCTGACAATGAAAACAGCTGAGTCCATATCAACAAAGGTAGTGTGACAAGCTCCTCCAGGAGAACCAACGGCACACCATCTGCAGGTGTGTATTTATGCTGTTGGCAACAATCCTCAGATGGGCCTTCCACACCCAACACCACGCTGATTACGTTCAGCTGGGTGCTCCAAGTTGACCGTTAGTTCATCTACCACAGCAAGTGTTAAAGCAGAATAGCCTGAACCCCAGGACCAGCATCAGTGCTCTATGATTCTTCTCTAGCTCTTCCTTCACTGCTTGGGACTTGTCATCTTCAAGGAGACCAGTTTGAATGTTCAGACATCTCCTTTTATTCCTTCAACCTATCTAGATCCATAACTCTCAAAGTTTATAGTATCCATTAAGAATAACTGTACCGGGGCTGGTGAGATGGCTCAGTGGTCTAAAGCACCTACTTAGAACAAGCTTAGCAAAGCACAGGGACCGCGGTTCAATCCCCCAGCACCACATGCCAGCCAGCCCCGCCCCCTGGTGGGCTGAGCTGGCCACACACACACACACACACACACACATAAATAAATAAATAAATAAAATAAAAATAAAAAATTAAAAAAAAAAAGAATAACTGTACCATTGGGGTGAATGGTAAAAGAGGAGCTTTAAATTTATCTCTAACATATTCATTCTCTTCTCTGAAAAACACAAAGCAGCATGAGAATATTAACAGGATAATGAAAGTAGATATACATTACACTAGTCTTTGAACTTTATTTTAAGCCTTCTTCAAAAGAAAAGATGACATTTAAAGAACCTCAGTTCAGCTTTGAATGCATAGGCACTTCAGGGTGACTAGGTCTCCTGTGTTTCTGCCAAATGCACAAACTTTATATCTCATCCCCAAATAAGAGGCACCACACCCCAGTAAACTCCTCCAGGAAGGACATGGAAGAGCACTGCCTCCCAGATCCTCTGGGACTTGGTGTGCAGAGCCTAACCCCACCTCCACCTCTTGTCCCCTGTCTACAGGACTATAGAGTCAACATCTTCCTGCGGCAGCAGTGGAACGACCCCCGTCTGGCCTATAACGAATACCCTGACGATTCTCTGGACCTGGACCCATCCATGCTGGACTCCATCTGGAAACCTGACCTGTTCTTTGCCAATGAGAAGGGAGCCCACTTCCACGAGATCACCACAGACAACAAGCTGCTGCGGATCTCCCGAAATGGGAATGTCCTCTACAGCATCAGGTGAGTGCCATCTGGGGTCTTCTGCTCCCTCCTTGGAACACACCAGGCCCCACCATCCTCTGCAAGTGGGCACTCTGGAAGAGACCAAATAAGTACAGACAGTCCTCCAGCTCAATGCATCTGTAGAACAGGAGACCCAGCTCTGTGACTTGTAATCAGAAGATAAGAATAAAATCCCGGGCTGGTGAAATGGCTCAGTGGTCTAAAGCACCTACTTAGAACAAGCTTAGCAAAGCACAGGAAAGCACAGGGACCGCGGTTCAATCCCCCAGCACCACATGCCAGCCAGCCCCGCCCCCTGGAGGGCTGAGCTGGCCACACACACATATATAAATAAATAAATAAAATTTAAAAAAAAAAAAAGAATAAAATCCCACCAGGAGTTCTAGGAGTGAGGTTCATTGTAACCTAGGAGACCAGAGAGAGCATCCTAAAGAGAGGAATTAGAGTCACCCATCATCTCAAGAGTAGTCAAACGTGATGGCCACTAGCGGGAGCAAAGGCACAAGCACACACAAGCCACTGCAAAGGCACCAATCACAGCAACTTCAAAGTAAGTGGGCATTCTGGCTAGACAGTCCTACTCACTGTTGTAAACCAGGGCTACCCAGCCTCTTTTAGCAAGTCTTTCTATCCCACATGCCTCATATTGTGTCCAGAGACCAGACACCCTGTCCAAGATGTGGGCTGTGCTGCAGACACCGCGGAGGCCCGAAACATTCAGTCTCCCACTGCCCTCAATGCCTAGATCCTAATCACGCCCCAGAAGTGCAGAATCACTAACTGGTGTCCAAGAGGCGCAGCGGCCACGCACGCAGTAGCAATAGCACCGATTCACTGAGAATTTCCTGGCTCTGCTGGTACATTGCCTGCGCTATAGCTCATCCTTCCAACCCCAGGAAGTAGGTTTTATTGTGCTCATTTTGCAGATTAGACAAGCAAAGATCTATCTGAAAATGTAAGTAATGTGCCAAAGTCCTCAGAGTTCAGAATCTAGATCTGATCTGCATTCGTGTGATCTGACGCCCTCTCAAGGCCTGGGCACTGACTGCATTTAAGAGGTATGCAAATATTTGATGAATGAAGTAATTGTGTTTTCAGTTCAAAAAGCTTAAGCCCTGGTCTGCTTTTTTCCTCAAGGAGATAAATCTTATTTCCACCAGGAGAGGAGCTTTAAATGTTCAGATCTGAGGGAAAGGCTACGCTGACTCTGTCCCTCGGGTGTGGCTAAACCCCAGAGAGCAAGATGGGGGCAGGACGCTTAGCCTCCCACTAATGCCCAGGATAGGGGCTCCAGGGGCTCCAGGGCCTCCAGGGCCTCCTCGCCCAGGGCCAGGGGCCATCCCCCCTCATGCAGACTGGAGGAGTACTGGGCCTAGGAGTCAGCCAGTGGGGTGAGAGAAACGCTGCTTGGATCCTGCTGCTACCTGGCTAGTTTCCTATCTTCACGAAGCAACGTCCCAGTGCAGCATGACAGAAGGACAAGTCAGCAGAAAGTGATGTTCTCAAGGTCATTCGGCTTCAGGAAATTAACCCGGCGTGACAGCTGCCCCACTTTGGAGCTTTTATCTTCAAAAACTTCAGTCGCATTCACTTTCCCTTCGCTTTTTCCCCTCCTTCTGCTACTCCCTTCTTCTCTCTCTTCTTGTCCTCCCTCTTCCTCCCCCACACCTGGCTACTCCTACTCTTGAGGTTAAGGAGTAAGGGCTGCAGGGGGAGCTCATCAAGAGCCCTGTGCAACCAAGGTGCTGGCAGCCAAGTTCCACCCATGAGGGCCTCGGGGCCCTGGCGCTGGCCATGCAGAGGCTCCCGCCAGCAAACTTGAGAGCCAACTCCACTAGGACTCAGAATCCACAGGCCGGAGTCAGGCTTGTGAATCCTGGCTGAGCCAGAAGCTTGCTATGTGACCTTAAATAAGGCCAACCGATCCACTCTGCACCCTAGCATGCTGGGCGGCAGAGGAGGGAGCTGGCCTGATGACTGGAGAGCCAAGCTCCCACATCTTGGAAAGGGTGTCTGGCCCCTGGACACAATATGAGGTATGTGGGATAGAAAGACTTGCTAAAAGAGGCTGGGCAAAGCCTTTCAAGTTGCCGCCCTGTATCCCAGCCTGAGCTGCACTCTTCGCATTCTACCAAAGGAACTCCCGGGGCTGGTGAGATGGCTCAGTGGTCTAAAGCACCTACTTAGAACAAGCTAAGCTAAGCTAAGCAAAGCACAGGGACCGCGGTTCAATCCGCCAGCACCACATGCCAGCCAGCCCTGGCCCCTGGAGGGCTGAGCTGGCCACACACACACACAAAATAAATAAATATTTTTTAAAAAAAGGGGGCTGGTGAGATGGCTCAGTGGTCTAAAGCACCTACTTAGAACAAGCTTAGCAAAGCACAGGGACCACGGTTCAATCCCCCAGCACCACATGCCAGCCAGCCCCGCCCCCTGGTGGGCTGAACTGGTCACACACACACACACATAAATAAATAAATAAATAAATAAAATTTAAAAAAAAAAGAAACTTTAAAAAAAAAACAAAGCTCTCTCTGTAAGGGCTGGACAAACCAAAATAACTGGTCATCCCAGAACCCTGGGAGCCTGCACTGCCTTCCTGCCATCAGCAGGAGCCCACAGGTGTGAGTCCACTAAGGGTGGCTGCCCAGCAGGCAGGGGCCTCTTTGAAATGACTTCCCATGGGCCCAGGACCTGCTGCAGATGTACCTGGGGTGCCTGAGGCCTGCTGCAGCTCAGCCGAAAGCGGGCACCACCTCCATCAGAGGGCTCTTCAGAAGGCTAAGGCTGGGGGCAGGCACTGGCCCCAGGCAACCTGCCAGAGACAGGTCTCTAGAAGCCAGACTTTAGAAACCCAGAAGTCTCTCTGAGTTCTGCAGCTTTAGGGAATGCTCTGCCTCTCTCTGAACCTCCATTTCCCCATCAGCAACTCAGAAGTGTTCATTTATTTATTCAGTAAAAGCCAGCTCCATGACTTCCTTTCCCTACCCTGGATAACCGTGTTCTGACCACAACCAGAATGGAGGTTCAGCTCCCAAGACCCAACATCCTCCCCGCTCCCCCCAGGATCACCCTGACACTGGCCTGCCCCATGGACCTGAAGAACTTCCCCATGGATGTGCAGACGTGCATCATGCAACTGGAAAGCTGTAAGTCCCTCACAGGGTCCACTTTGAAGACCCAAACTTGGCAGAAATACAAAATGCTTCTGCTTGGAAGGGCTTCCTTCTGATGGGAGAGAGAGAACAGACAGGATGGCTGACCTTGAACAGACAGGATGGCTGACCTTGCAGGGCGACCCAGAAGTCTCACTCACAAGCACAGCCAACAGACCCATGCATTTAGGGGGCAGGAAGTAGTGGAACCTTTCCTTGGAGGACCGCTTCTCAGGGGAGTCATCACCCATGATTCCAAGCCTTTCCTTAGTCTCTCAAGCACCAGAGTCTGGGCGCAGACAGTCTGCCTGCCCCAGCTTGTGTCACCCCTCCACACCTTGCCCTACTCCCTGCATGAGCCCCATGGAGACAGTGTGCGCTAGAGCTGGTCTCCAACAGAGGTGGCTGGCAAAGACGGTGCTCAGGCAGGAACAGCAGGCTTGTTTCATTGCCCTGCAGGGGTGAGGAATAGACAGGGTACAGAAGGGTGGGCAGCGAGAGGGAAGGCCAGGGTAGGCAGAAACAATTAAACCCATTTTAACTGCATCGGTGAGGATAATCCCAAAAGGGCAACATGGTCCCAGGTGTCCCATCCGGTGTCTGATGATGCTTCTCCCAGCCCCTAACCACCCTGATGTGCTTCCAACAAGGGTTCCTGGGTAGTGACCGCTGCCTCTTTTGATCCCCTCCAGTTGGATACACCATGAATGATCTCATCTTTGAGTGGCAGGAGCAGGGAGCTGTGCAGGTGGCAGATGGACTCACCCTGCCTCAGTTTATCCTGAAGGAGGAAAAGGACCTGCGATACTGCACCAAGCATTACAACACAGGTAGGTAGGAGCACTGCTGTCCTCGATCCTGCCCCCACCCAGGACTGTTTCTTCCATCACTGACCCCACGGAGCTTATAAAGTGCCCAGGACAGACACCACTCAGATTTATTACCAGGAAGGCACTCTGGAATGTTCCTTCTGTGAGTCCTGGAGGGAGTAACTTAAGCCTAGACTCCACGACATAGGAAGCCCATCTGGACCTTGTCGTGGTCTGGGGGAGTTTATTTATATTTGTAATCCCAGGGAACAGTTTTTGGAATTCCAGTAAATAACTCTAATCTATGGGGGCTGGTGAGATAGCTCAGCAGACTAAAGCACCTGCTTAGGCAAACACAGAGACCTCGGTTCGATCCCTGGCACCACATGCTGCACCAGCCCCTCCCCCAGGGTGGGCTGAGCTGGCCAGAGCCAGGTGTAGTGACATGTCTATAATCCCAGCACTGGGGAGGCTAAAAACTGGAGGATCACTATGAGTCCAAGCTGCATAGTGAGACCCTGTACCAACCAAATACAGTTAGAAAAAGAAAAAATAAATAAATAACTCCGATCTACCGCTTCCAGAGCAACCTGCACTGAGAATAAAACGATGAACTCCTATCTCTGCAGTTCCGAGCCCAGGAGTCCTAAGTCCAGCTGGAACAATGGCTAACCAGAACAAAGGCCTCGCCCAGGGCTGAAGATATATTTTATTGATTCGTGAAGGAGGGAGTGGCTTGGGCATAGCGACTGTGACAATGGCAGGAAGGAGCCAGTGCTGTGAGCTGGGCTGGGCAGGGGGCCTGATAGCACCTCCGCAGAGAAAGAGGTATGCAGGAAGAGGGATCTGTAGGACCCAGCTTGAGGACACATCTGGTGTCAGCACTTGGGCTTTTGTGTCTGGCCTTCCTGCCCTAAAATCGCAGGTTCTTTTCTGAGCCTCAGTCGCCGGCAGCCACATGGGCGTCTAGCCCACGCACACTAGCTGGAAGCTGCAGGCGGGACCCCACTGGCCCTCGCGTTGCCTTAAAGGTCACACACCAGCACCTCGCTAGACCATCTGCATTGCTTAAAGCCAACTGTGGAAAAATACAAATGTCCCAGCCAGCTCCGTACCTGTCAATATACAGAATCAAGGCCAGGTTTAGCCAAAATGGAGACCAACACTCTTCTTTCAAAAAGAGCCATCCTGGTGACCCTTGAGGGGATTATCAGAGAAGCTGCTTGATGTCATCTATTCCGGGCAGCAGAGTGGCACCTGTTTCTAGGGCTGCAGAGAAGGCCTGGCAGTGGGAGGAAGGCCTGTCGTCGCGCAGGGACTGCATTCGACTGATCAGGGCGGTGTAGGTATTGTGCCCATTAGACCTCGGAAGTGGGAGCCCAAACCACAAGAGGAGGATGGGAAAGTGTACTGTGCCTTACAGGCTCCGCTGGAGGATCGCACACGAGAGGGAGCAGGTTTGGCTCCAGTCTGGCTTCGCACAGCCCGCACAACCCACATCCGGTCTCTCAGACCCGGAGCCTGAGAACAGCAGCGCTGCGGGAGGGCTGAGGGAGCCACTGTCCAGGCCAGCCGTGGAGAGGAGAGGCAGGCAGTGGGCCTCCACGGTGAGAGAGAGGGACTGGGAGACACCACTGCAGGCCCTGGTACAGGCAGGAACCAATGGGAAGGAGGCCTGGCCTCCGGGCTGCTGGGACAGCGCCTTTTTTTGGGTCACCCCGAGAAGTCTCAGGACTTCGGAGGCTAACATTCTCAGCCCTGTGTTAGCTGAGTCCAGAATAGGCCACTCGCAGCCACCCGTGCTGGGGAATCCCACCTGGTCCTCAGTCCTCTGCCCTTAGCATTTTCTTTGATATGCTATTAACAAATGAAATATAAAACTATACATATTTTAAACCTGATGGTTTGATATACATTGAAAAAATATATATATATATATGCAATCCCCACAAACCAAGTTCAGAGGCACTTCCCCATGAGCCCAGTTGCTCAGGAAGCTGGGGCACGAAGATCTCAAGAGCAGCCTGAGCACCTTCAGTGAGACCCTGTGTCAAATACATCAGTGGGGCTGGGGATGCAGTTCAGTGTGGAGGCCCTGGGTTCAAGGCCCAGTGCCCTTAATCATCTCTTCAACTCTGTCACCACAGCTTGGAGGGGGAGAGGTTTAGTTTGGTTCACATTTTAGAAGTTTTGGTCTGCTGCTCGGCTCCTGGGGAAGCAGGAAGCAGAGAGCAGCAGGGGAGATGTGCCCTTCCAGGTCACACACCAGTGACAGGCCCTTCTAGCCAGAGCCCACCTGCACAGGCTGGGTGTGGTGTGCATAGCTGTAATCCCAGAACTCAGGACACTGAGGTAGGAGGATTATTGAGTCTGAGGTGAGCCTGGGCTGCCAGCCTGAACTAAGAGAGACCCTGTTCAAAAGAAAAAAGGAAGAAAGGGAGAGAGAGAAAGAGAGAGAGAGAGAGAGAGAGAGAGAGAGAGAGAGAGAGAACACAAAAGGCCTGCCCCATGGATTTTTTTTTTTTTCTGCCCCATGGATTTAGAGAATTAACAAAGAAATAACCACACCATCAAGCTAGTTAACATGTCCATCCCCTTGTATGTGGCAGGAAGGCTCAAGATCTGCCCTCTGGGGCTGGTGAGATGGCTCAGTGGCCTAAAGCACCTACTTAGAACAAGCTTAGCAAAGCACAGGGACCACAGTTCAATCCCCCAGCACCACACGCCAGCCCGCCCCGCCCCCTGGTGGGCTGAGCTGGCCACACACACACACACACAAATAAATAAATAAACAAATCTATTAAAAAAAAGATCTGCCCTCTGAGCCAATTTCAAATGCAGTTAGTACAGTTCCCTACTAACCTGAACCTCAGCGCTGTCCGTGAGACCTCCAGCTCGCACATGATCACCTTGCAGCGCTGAGTCTGCGAAACCTCTGCCCCACCTCTCACCCTCCCGCTTCTCTCTCTAGCCAGCCCCTGGCACCGCCACTCTTTCTGCTTCTGTGAAGCTGGTTGTTCTGTAGATCACACAGGATGTGTCTTTCAGGGCCTGGCTTATTTCGCTTAGTAGTTCTCCTGGTTCCTCTATGTCCTTGCAAATGGCAGGATTTCCTTCCTTAATAAGGCCAAATAATGTTCCGTGTTCTCTCCCCACTCATTTATTGTAAACTATGTTCTGATCGAGAATCCCTTTTCTAGGGTCTATGCCAAGGAAATGGAATAAGCATGTCAAAGCGACCCCTGCACTCCTTCACAGCACCACTGTGCACAACAGCCAAGGTGTAGACACCTGACTGTGCCCTGGACACTCGCGTTTGCCATCTCACTTGCCCCTTACCATTACTTTTCAGTGAGCACTAAGCTCTGTGCCAGGACAGGAGACTGATGGGTGCTGCCCATGCGGGCACACAGGGAGCTCAGAGATTGCCCTGGGATGGGCCCCATCCCAACTCCCAGGATCACAGGTTCAGGAGCCAAGCTGTGGGTCCCAGGGCAGAGACAGGAAGGGAAGGACTAGTTGCCCACTCCCTTGTTCTCTGGTGCGGTGGTGACATGGGCAGAGCAGAGGAGAACCAGAGGCCGAGAGGCTGCTGTCTGCCGAAGCCACACTCATGAGCCATCCTAGGAAGAAGAAGGCTTCTGCTTGCCCAGCGAAATTGAGGCTCTGCAGGCAAAAGTGAAGCTTCAAAAGCCTGAAAGTGCAGGACAGGCTCCAGGCAATCAAGGGAGGAAGTAAAGACTGGGATGGAGAAAGCAGGGAAAGGGTCAGGAGGACAGGTCAGGGCTCCACTCATGAGGGGCAGAGCGTGGAATGTGAACCTCTGCATGGGATACAACTTCCTTCTCTAAGGGGAGAGAAAGAAATGAAAGGCCCTGTGAGAGGCAACAGGGGCCATCACCTTTGGGGAAGGTGAGCACAGAAGCCAGAAGCGTAGTGGGAGCCGCTCTTCCCTGCTGTTAGCATTAAAGCCCTGTGAGAAGTATGACAGAGGTGGCAGCAAGTGCCGGTGGCAACGCCTAGTGCTCAGGGTGTGGGGTCCGGGCTGCGTTCTGCGCGCAGGTGCTCTCACGTGACCACCCGCACAGGCATACGGCTAGCTGTGCAAAGTAGGTACTGTTATTTTATCAGCAGCAGCATCACCCTCTGGACACACAGGGGCAAGGTTCCGGGACCGTCATACACACCTGGATAGCAAAATCGAAGGCTGCTCCAGTCCCTCATGTACACAGGTGTCGTGTTTGCATCTAACCTATGTACATCCTCCTGTATACGTCAGATCACCTCTCCATTACTTACAGTACCTGATGTTCTATAAATGTCAGGTGTATGGGCATTACGCTGTACTTTTAAGGGAGTCGTGCCAAGGAAAGTCTGTGATTCAGTACAGGTGCAGTCCTTTTGCTGCGTGTTGTCTGCCTGCAGTTGGTTGCACCCACAGGTGCAGAATCGGGGACACAAGGCACAAGCAAAGCACACAGCACCAGTTTACACAGATGAGGAAACTGAGGTGCCAAGGGATTCAAACTCTGGCCTAAGGACACGGCTCCAGCCACTCCTATTTGAGAGCAAAGCCTTGGTTCCTCCCCACCAGGCTGTAAGACCTTCTCACGGTGACTTCTTGCAGGCAAATTCACCTGCATCGAGGCCCGGTTCCACCTGGAGCGGCAGATGGGCTACTACCTGATCCAGATGTACATCCCCAGCCTGCTCATCGTCATCCTGTCCTGGATTTCCTTCTGGATCAACATGGACGCGGCGCCGGCCCGCGTGGGCCTGGGTATCACCACCGTGCTCACTATGACCACCCAGAGCTCGGGGTCCCGCGCGTCCCTGCCCAAGGTAAGCGGCCCTGCGCGCGCAGGAGACCGAGCCCCCGGACGACGGGGCGAGCGCGCCGCTCCCCGCCCCCCAGGCTCTGTTGTGATCTTCCAAGCTGCCCCCCAACATCATCTTCTGCCCAGGTTGCGAGACAATGCGCTCTGCTCTGTTCTCGACCACCCCTGGGCACACACTCCGCCTCGCTTACTATTAAAAGGTCACATAAACAAAACAGAACCATTTTTTTAAAACCGCCTGATGCGATGGCACACTCGTGCAGTCCCATGCGCTCAGGAGGCTGAGGCAGAAAGAGTCCTCGAGCCTTGGAGCTCAAAGACCGCATCAGCAGCTCAGCAAGGCCCGGTCTCGAGGAAAGCAACAACAACAAAGCTTTTAAATTCAACCTCTCCCCCTCACGGTGTCCTCCACGGCCTTTTCTGCTCTGCTCACCATTAGCGGTCGGGAATAGTGACAGTCAGAAGTCTGATCCAAGTGTCCAGGGAGCCAGCAAGGCCTTGTAGGCACAGTGAGATTTGCTGCAGCAGCGTGTGCAGACGCTGTTAGATCACAAGCGGAGGAGGACAGGCAGAGCCGCAGGGATCCATGCGCGGCTGCCCCTCCCCTCCCGCGAGGGATCGCGAGAGCGCCGGCCGGCCGGAAGCGCAGACGAGTGTGTGCGTGAGCGCGTGTGCGTGACGGGCCTGCCCGGGCTCTGCCGGCCGAGCCTCACGAGGGTCCGGGTACCCGGAGCTTTACTTAGGGCTGGCGAGGACCACAACTGTAGACCCTCAATGGAAAGCGGACATTGAGAGCCAAGAACGTCTCCAGGGCACGCGGTCAAGGCGCAGCGCTGCCGCACGCACCGTGGGGAAAGCAGAGCATTCCCCAGAGCCAGTCCAGAGTGGATCCTGCAAGCGGGTCCTTCTGAAGACAGCGCTCTCATGCGTGCTGTGTTAACCCTCTTCTGACCAAACTTCGGTCTATTTCTGCGTTTTCTTTTTTTTTTTTTTTTTTTTTTTT